TTCATTGGCTATTAATCGTAGCTGATTTGACATCTGGAACTGTGCTTCTTCTCGACTCGTTGCCAGCTAAAAATGAGTTGGAGAACTACCTACGGTTGGCAATGACGAAAAAACTAGTAAGTATTTTGAGGATGATCAATAGACCGTTTGTTGTCAAAATTTCAATTCTGTGTACTATCATTTGATAAATCGATAATTGGCCACAGTGGGGTAGACTTCAAATGGCTTTGTTTGTTGGGATGGATGGGAGGAAAGCTCATAGAATTTTCACAGATTTCATTATTGATGCACCCGATTGGTGCTCGCGTCAGCCCAACTTGTGAGTAATATCCCTTGGGAGCCCGTGATAATATTATTGCAATTTGTAAAAAAAATTACTGCAATTCAATGATTGATTGTACAAAAAAATTTCATGCTTAATTCATTTTTAGATATGATTGTGGGATATACGTACTCAAGTTCATGGAAAAGTGTCAATTCTTAGGTCCGAATTTGCAATTACAGGTATTAAAATCTCGATTTTAGCAAATTATGCACTAACATTCTTAGACCAAAGAATGCATTCATACTCACCGGTTTCATTATTTGCTATTGCTATTGCAGTTTGATTCTGTTGCAGAGCGTAAGAAGGTAGCTGTTAGATTGTTCTTGGATGATGGAAACCAGGTTAAAGGACGTGGCCTAAGAGTAATGGGCATGTTGGGAATTGAAACTTGCGGCATAAACCTATGAACAATGAACAAGTGTGCTTGAACAAGGAGCTAAAGGTCTTCCCATTACTTTGTAGGTTTTTTGTTGAAAATATTTTTTGGTATCTCAGCCTGGCAGAATTAGCTGAAGACCTTCCCATTGTTTTGTGATAGTTAGACAGAGTTGAAGGTCTTCACATTCTTTTGTAGCTTTTTTGTTTGAAATTTTTTTGGTCATCTCAGCCTGGCAGAAATAGCTGAAGACCGTCCCAAGTGTTTATATATCCAAGGCCTTAATGCCATGAATTGGTTCATTGTTTCTCGGGTAGTCAATAGTAGTGATTATCAATTCTTCCATGACAGCGATATATTCTTGTTTAGGAGCTGCTTTGACAAGTCAAAATTGGACTTATTAATTTTTTGAAGGAGATTGGTTAATTGGAGTTAACCACTCCAGGCTCTATGATATGCAATTTATTCTTCTGTTGAAAATTTGCAGAGGCCTATGATATGCGATTTATTCTTCTATTGAAAATTTGCAGAGGCCATTGAATTAGAAAATTTGCAGAGGCCATTGAAGCATCCGTCAACTTTGAACAACTCATGGCATCTGTTCATTGGAAAAAATTTGATTAAAGAGCATTGAAACCCAACAGTAGTACTAATTTGATTAAAGAGCAAGCAGAGATGGGGCCCCGTTGAAGAGATTTCGTCATTTCGACCTCCATTAGTAGAGGTCCGTGTGTTATCCATACAAATCACAGAGGATCTATAGTACACTAATTTTGAATAATACGGGCAAATAGTCAATCTATGAATCGTTTTCAGAGGTAAGAAAACTTACAGCACTGAGCTAAAGTCGGAACGAAACAAACATCAGGCGTAAGTGGCAAAACAACCAAATTGCAAAACAGAGCCAGTAGTATATATCATATTCATTCATCAAGAGTTGAAGACTAAACTATCCGGAGCAACTGATTTCCAAACGATAACAGATTGCAAAACAGAGCCAGTAGCATATATCATATGCATTTTCCAAACGATAACAGATTTCCAAAAAAATCATAAAATGCTTACATCACTTGGAGCAACTGCTCCTACATCAATGTTGGCTAACTGAAGCAGCCAGCTAGGAATGGAAAATCTCCAATCTATATCAGCAACTAAGTTTAAGGCAAATCTTGCCAAAGAATGGGCCACTACATTGCCATTTTCACTTTCTAACAAAAGAGAATGAGCAATTCCGAAACTTTTTCCTCAGTTGCAGGATGTCAAATAACACAGCTAAAGTCCCGAGAATCCTCCACCCTTTCCAATTTGATCTTCTCAACCACACACCTGAAGTGCATGTTGACAACCTCCTTCGAAACAGAACCAGTTTAACAGCTTTGAAACCAAAATCCATCTCCTTCTCGATGAAGCGTTTCACTTGTTATTTCTCAGCTTAGTGATAGAAGAATGGAGCAGCAGGAGAGCATCTTTTTCAAATGAAAACCAGGAATCTGAACAAAACATATACATGCATCTTTGACCCTTGAAAAGTGTCTGCCCAAATTCCACGATATAATCGCGGGTACTGTTAGTCTTTGTTTATACATAAATTTCCCCTCATTCACACATTGAAGCAGAACAGAAAAAAGGACTACCCAAGGCTGAGGAGCCAATAGACTAGTAGATAAGAAATTTCAGCGTACGAGAGAACCGATCACTTCCTAATATTCAACAAAAATAAAGCCTTTTCACTTTCTATATCAGAATTTTCTTGATATGTGCTGGTGGAAATGGAATAAAGAAGTGCATGTATTTAAATAATCATCTTGATTACAACAAAAAACACCTTATGGGATCTTCTTGTACCTGATCTCTCATAGTCCCCCAAACATCTTATGTGTGGTTGTTAGATCTTCTTAACGGTGGATCCAGACGGTTAGTGAAAGGAATCTAGGAGAAAAGGGAAGGAGCGAAATTAAGATCTTTGAGTTTGTGAAATTTGGGTTCTTCGAGAAGAACACGCAGCCGGGTGAGATGGTGCCTACAAGAGAGCAAAGACACCTACCAAGAGGGACTCGTGCATTCTAGGTGAGATTATTTTATATGCAGGTGACCACTTAATCACAAAAATAACCCACCACAAAATAACATTCGCATTTAGTACCGTGTGGTTCACCAGATCAAAGCCTTTAAAAACCTTAAGCCAACCCCCAAATAAAACAAAAAGTAAAATAGAAAACATAGACAGTGAAATCAAAGAACCCACCACACTTGAAACACCCACCTCCTCCGCCTCCTCCGTAACCTCCATTGTAGGTGAAATCATTGCTATTTCTCCGTTGTAAGTGAGAAATAGCAATTTATGGGTCGGGTAGACCTGGTGACCCGGACAATGGAAGGAAGCTGACGATGCTCCCAGCAACGAATCCTCAGTAGAAATCTCATCACATCAGATTGCTCAAAAAAAAAAATTCAAGATTTACTAAAGAACAACTTTGACAATTTAAAGAAATCAGTTTATTAAACAACAACCTTGAAAGTTTAACTAAAAAATTATGTTCATTAAACAATAACTTCAACAACTTAAAGAAATATAAGTTCATTTAACAACTTCAAGAATTTAAAAAAATATGTTTAACTATAAAATTATGTCCTTTTTTTTGTCTTCAAATGTAATAGATTATATAAAATCTCATAGAAACAGGGATAATGATTTCCAGTACCAAACCTCCCAAAACAGATTACACAGAAATGAAGGAGTTGAGATAATTCGTATCTCAAGAATTTAAAGGTTGAGAAATGAAGGAGAGTTGAGATCTTTTAAAAAAAAAAAAACTTTCCATTAGCTTAAGAATTTTAAAAAAATATTTGAAGTTAAACAAAAACTTTCCATTCCAGAATTTTTACGAACCTTCTTACTCCTCGGTCTGCAGCATGTTCAACCAAAACATATTCCTGGCGAAAACTCTCGGCGAAGAGTATTCTTCATCTCCTGAAGTTGTTTTTGGTGGTTGAAGAATACCCACCAAAGCCATTTATTATTTCTTAGCCTCCTTATTTCAGTGGTGGTCCCCTTTGTCTAGAATTTGTGGCCAGAAAGCAATCTCATGAACACAATATCACGTGGATAACTCTTGCACAAGAGAACGTGATAAGCTTAGAATTAAAGCTGCACCATTGTCTTCAACCCCCCACCAAAACACTAGGAAGATGCAAATTGAGATAAAGGCAACAAAAAAAAAATTTGTGGTTATCCCGTAATAACTTTCCATCCACCAGCATTCTGACACACTAAATAAATAGAACACAAGAAAAATATATTGGATAGTTCTACTGCTTTAATATATAAACAAATAGAACTGGCCTACAGCTTCAATAGAAGAATGAATGCAATGGTCAACGACAAAACAACTCCTTCTTTGACCTTCCACATAGCATCCGATATGTGTGCCATGTCTACCTTCAACCGGGCAACATCTATACTCACACGCTCGATGTCTGTCTCTGCACCTCGGTGGCCGTTGGTGCTCTTAGGGGACATGAGGTTAGCCGTCGAACTCTCGCCTTCATTTCCTGAGATAGATTGCATGTTTGAGTTTTTAATAGTTGTTGCATAGACATCGCACCACCCTCTAAATCCGAGACATTTTTGCTGGAAAAAATTAAAGAACAAGTTAATGATATGCAGGGGTCGGAGTTAATCATATACTACAAACTAGGAACTGAAGTTGAATAAATAGTTTACCGATTCCTTTGGGCAAGCATAGTAATATCTCCCTAGATTTTTCTCCGACTTCTCAACAATCTTGATGTCACAAACCCTTCCACACGAACACAATCGTTGGGGCCATTCAACTGCATAGCCATGGCGAAGGTGAGAAGAAGCTGAAGACATGCTGTTTACTATGTCAGCTATCGAAATGGCTACTTGAAATACTTTAGATGGCCTTTTATTTGGCTACAAAAACTTGAATTCGTGTCTTTTGATTTTTCTACCACGCGCGTCAATTTCATTTCATGAAAATTTTGAATTTGGAAAATTGTAATCAGTTAGTGGCGCGTAGAAAATAAAACACGCGGGAGTAAAAAATAAAACAGGGGGAGTAGAAAATAAAATCACGTCGGTTAGTCAGTGGGCCCACCAAGAAAGACCCAATGCTTCCTATCACCGTGAAATTTTGAATTTGGTATTCAAAATTGTAAACATAAAGTGGCGAGTAGAAAATAAAACAAACGGGAGTAGAAAATAAAATCACGTCCGTTAGTCAGTGGGCCTACCAAGAAAAATCCAATGCTTCCTATCACAGTATAGCCTAGCGATTAACTTTTCCAGAAAGAAGCTGAATAGCTATTTCGGTCTACAATTGTGTATGATCCTGTTCCATTCCATTCACTCCAAGGACTCTGCATCGTGTGAGATTGACTATGATCAATTTTTTGGCTACTGCTTCCATCTCTGTCAACTCTATTTAACATTCCTGAGTGACTTAGGAATGGATGCTGAACTCCTTGAAAATCACCAGATGAGGATGCACCGAACTGGAATCTTGAGTCACCCATAGTCCTTGATCCTGGGTTGCTATAATGAATTGCTTGGCTTCCAGAAATACCACATGCATCGTAACTAAGCAAGTTATGAGGACATGTCCTTTTGTTGTGGCCATCACACAACCTGTGATCATACCAATAAAATTAATGAAAGTACAACAAATGCAATGATAATCCATTTTATGATTTTCAGTTACTGCAAATGTATAATCTAATTTATTATTCACGATAACTAACCCACAGTTTCCACACTTAGCAGCTTTGTTTTTATTGGTATGAACCGGTCACCTTTAGCTCTTGTCCTCTCGGGGTCCTTCACATAATATTGGCTTAAGCGTGACTCTTTTGAATCCGCAGCTAACCTTCCATTAGTGCCACAATCAAATCCACGCTCCACCCAAGCTCTCCTCCAATTATTAGTCTCCTTTATAACAATATCTCGTACACGAGCAAATCCATCATCCATATGGGATGCAAAGAAACACATTTCCTTGCAAATTGATGTCATCGTTCCAAATCTTGCAGTTTGAACCAACTCAGCATATATCTCCTGCCTCCCTTCAAGAACTTCATTATCCGCCTCCTCTCTGGCCTCGCATGTCCATCTTTTTAAAATGCAGGATTTTGGTATTGATTGCATGTTTTCCATCAGCATTACACGAAACATGTGTGCGCATGGTAACCCTTTCCATTCCATTTTCTTGCACGAGCACTTTAATGATAGGGTCCTTCGATTGAGCTCTACGGTCCATGTTCTGTCATCGGCATACTTTTTGAGAAAAAATATGCAGCCATTCCAAGTTTCTTTCCGTTCATAACAATCATATAGGCCTTGTCTGTTAAGGTGCTTCTTTACCCGAAAGAAAACATTTCGAGTATACACTTCGGATGCATGCTTCTCCAACTTTTGTAATGCAATTGCCAAAACCACTATTGTATCTTCTGTCTCATAAACTGCCTTGGCCCCAGTATGCCTCAAGTGAGTAAGAGCCAACTCATGGATGATGACTGACTCATAAAATCGCATGTTCTTCTTCAAATACTGTTTAAGAAAAGCATTCATTTGTTCGCACCTTTGAGTGCTTCGCATTCCAGCAAAAAAAGTATCACGAAGCAACGATTCAGCCCATAGCAACCTCATTTCGAAAATCTTTTCCACCCATTTATTTTGGCGGAGTCCGCATTTACCCACAACAGCAAACCACTCTTCCTCCAAGTCACCAATGGGGTACGCCTTTTTCATCATCCTACCGAACATTGACTTGAATACATTTGATTTGGCTTTAGCGTCTGCAATTTTCATCAAATGCCAAATGCATAATCTATGTCGAGCATCTGGGAACACATTATTTATTGCCCTCCTCATTGCTTTGTCCCCATCTGTTATCACGGCCTTTGGCTTTCGTCCTCCCATAACTTTGGTTAATGTGTGAAGGAGCCACTCATATTCTTCAACTCTCTCACCCGATACCAAGGCTGTACCGAATACAACAGTATTATAATGATTGTTCACTCCAGAAAATACAACGAGTGGCTTATGATACTCGTTGACATTATAAGTCGAATCAAATAATAGAACATCACCAAAACATTTATAATCCAATTGGGACTCATAATCTGCCCAGAAAAGGGTCTTCAACCTTGATTCTTCGTCCACATCATATTCAAAGATGAATGATTTGTCACTGGCCTTCCTCCCATTGAAATATGCAATTGCATTTTTTGCATCCCCAGCCTCAATCAAAACTCTCCTTTCTTTATCGACACGGTTATATAGGTCTTTTAGCACAAATCCAACATTACCATATCTACCACACTGCATTGCAAAAAATTTCATAACCTGACTTGTTTTCACCCCTGCCATTTTCATTGTTCGTACTTGAGCATAATCGGCATCTGTTACGTGTCGATGAGACCATAGATATGGAATGCTTGATTTGGAAGCCATTTTGTGATTGTGTTCTTTCACGAAATTCATCACCACATATTTTTCAGATGCTTTGTCATGTTTGATGCGTAGACATGCAAGACATCCTGTCCTTGTCTCTGGCCTGGGCTGCCTAATCCTCTGTGCTAGATTGTAATATCTCTCGTGCCTTTTTCCTTCCCGAGAACATGCGAATTTTCTATACTGTACAGTTCCATCTTGACTAATTTTAACATCTGCCTTCTTAATGCCAAAACCAGTGAGCTTGCCATACAAATTGTAGAACTCATATGCATCTTCCTCACTGTCAAATACCATATTCATCACTTCTTCATCCATATCATCAACAGGGTAATTTTTTTCTATTGTTTCCGAGGAAATGAATTCTTCTTCACTTGAGCTAAATGACTCACAATTCTCGTCCTCTTCATTCAAATTTATTACTGCATTTTTTCCTTTCTCCCGATCCATCTGCGACTATCAATCAACACAATATAATTATCTACAATTAATTTATCCAAATTTTACTACGAATATCTAATTTTATATTATCTTTGCTGAAATTTTATGCTCTTATGTCATTTTACACAATTAAATTAATCTAAATTTATCTAATTTTGCATATACATATATAATTTATTTTTTGTAATCCATATAATTGTACTACTACTACCTAATTTTATATTATCTAGTTTGAAATTTCTTCCAAAATATTTAAATTATCTACTCTTATGTCAATTTATTTATTTTTTCTAACTTCTTTTCAGTTATGTATCCAGCTTTACATTTTCTTCATTATGTTTATTGTTCACTCAATTAATATGTACTAATTGTCTTTTCTATGATGACAATATTTTTCACAATGTCATATTATTTTTGCCTACAAATCAGGCCGGTAGTCAATTTTCAATTGAACCAAGCAATATCAGTCAATAACTTTCGGTATGGACCAATATAACGATAAACTTTACTTACAATTCTATTCTAATTCTTCAATTACAACATGTACAAAATTATATTTAATCTTCAAAATTTGTATTCTAGCAGAAATTCACTAATGATCCCAACATTTCACTTAATCCTTAGTGGGTCCATAATCAATTCGAGCAATCCAACTACAATATTCCCTGAGATTTTCCACATAAATCAGTACATTTGTGCCTAATTTTATTAAATATTTTAATTGCATTTAGCATTTTCTTATCCAACCCATACAAATATTCATTAAATAATCGTGTTCAATTCATCGAATATTTACCTTATACAATATTTTGCCTCTACAAACCAGTTTCTTTCTTTCTACTTTCTACAACTACACAATGAAACTAAAAACAATATTTCTTATTTTTTTCTATGCTCACAATTCTATCACTCTATTGTTCATAATTTAGAAAACAATATTAACAAATATTTTAAATTGCTCTTACCCATTTTATGTCATATACTAAACTAATTACATCATATTTTATGATTATTGGTTCATGAAGAGAGTTACCATTCATATACAAAAGTACAACATATATTCAAACAACAATACTGCATAAGCAAATTTATTCCACATTTCAATTTTTTCCCTCGATTACAAAAAGAATATTTCAAAAAGACATCCACTAATTGATCATTGTTACAAAACATATTACCTTATCCACGTACCAGCTGCTTCTTCACCTCTATCTATTTGCGTTTTTTTCCTCCCGGCCTCTCCACTATTCACAAGACTTTTGCTCAGTTGTTTGCTCTTTTACAAGTATTTCATACGGATCCATCTAGCTTGATTTATTACCTTAGCCATTAATTTTCACCTATATTGGTTGGTAAAAGTAATTGTACAGATTAATATTCCTCGTTCATTCTCTTGCCAAATAAATGCTTTATACCTCGTATGATGCTAGCCAATTTTCACGTCACATTATTATTCCTCGGACTAGCGAAATAAGTCTTCTTATTCCGGTCCTTCGCATGGTTCCTTCCACTGACAAAAGTTGAGACCTTCAATTTCGGTGTGAAACCCACTGTCTTTTCAGTGTGGAACCCACTGTCACTTCCAATTTCGGTTGCCTTTCCATGACCGAAAACAACCTTCAATTTTGTTTGGGCTAACGTGTCTTGTCCTCCTCTCATCTGTACCTCTTTATACCACTTTACCAATGCATTGGTACAAACCACTATACCAATCCTTAGAATTTTTGCTGTATGTATACATCTGTACTTACTATATAAAGATATAGATGACTGCTGAGTTTTGTTTTTCACTTTTTCAGTTCAATTTTTATCCTCACAACTAGTTATCACTAACGGTCTTTAAAAATTAATGTCAAAGACTAGGAAAAGTCTACAGTGAGTGCTTCCCTTAAAATGGTGTGATATACAATTGAATGCTAGAAGGCTGTATGCTAGCATATAATTGTATTAAAAATAGGACACTTGGAGGAATGTTTGAGAATAGAGAAGATGAGAAGGTAGAAATTGGAGTGGGGCGGCAGCTTTAGTGATAAGGTTTAGCGTTCAAAAAACTTTTTTTTCCTTTTTCCAATTTAATTGACAAAATTACAAAAGCGGCAATTCACTATTTAAACCGATTTGCACTGTTTGATGGTTTTTTTTTTTTTTTCGTTTTTTGACGGTTTTTAATGGCTAGTCAACCCTTAGAATGAATTGGACCAAAGTCATGACTAGTTTGATTCATGGTTCGATCGATTGAGCAAGCCAGATCGGTACTGGCCATGTCGATCCGAATTTCAAAACACTGATTCAAGCATTTAAGAAATTGCTGAAAAGTAAAAGGGATATAACTGAGGTTAACCAATTCGACCAAGCAAGTTAGTTTTATGTATTTCCAAAGTAAGGTAAGCTCATGGAGTCATTCTTTTTTATAGAGTTTGAAATGTACCTGAAGGTAATGCAATCTGCCAATTATGGTTTGTCATAAGTGCACATGACTCTTCAATTTTCTGAAATTTCTATGATTTAGTTTTCAACATTTTCATAGTGTTTTTTATTAGGGAGAGAAGAATAGGTTGGATGGCAGAGGAAAGGGGTGCAAGTGAGAGATTCCGAATTTATACATGCAACTTCAAAATTATAAGAATAGATCTTTTCCTAACATCAATGTGGTATGCAGATATATGACAAAGCAATGAATTTTGTCATGGGATGGAGTAATTGTTATTTGTAGTTTGGTCTTGATATAAGCCGAACGGTGATGATGTTGACATTTAAAGCTTTGTGAAATTGTCGAAGGCGTCCAATCAAAAAGAAAAAACAGAAAAAAGAAGGAAGGGACTAATTCACATATAAATCTATCTTAAGTTGAAGACGTTCCTGCATTCATAAATGGTACACGAACTCTTCTATAACATGACATCTTATGTAAAGGGACAATGGAACAATAATGCTCAAGTTAAATTCTCTGCAGTATAAAAATTCAACAAAATGAACACTCATGTAAAATTACACCCTTCAAAATCGGTCAACACTTTGACCAAAAAAAAAAAAAAAAGAAGTCAGTCAACACCATTGCATTTGCAGTAAGGGGAAAAAAACCACACAAACACTATAAGAAAATCTTACTCTAAGCGATGCAACTCATGCGATAGATTCAAAATAAATGACCTCCTTGATTTTAAAAATTTTCATATTTGTATCTATTTTTGTTATTTTTTTTAAATGAGCTCTTAAATATACATGATTGTGTTGGCAATATATTCAAACGGGTTACAAACCAAAAGTTATAGTGATGATGAATGTTGTGGTCGAGTACAGTACAAAAAGAGAAATCTAACTCCATAATCCATATTATCATTAACAGTCTCTAATAACACAAATTTTAAGAAAGATCTGCTGGGAGAGCTTCCCCTTAGATGGCACCACATGCACTCTAGGGAGTTCTCGATCAAGTTCTCATTGAGTCCTCAATGAAGGCAAACACTTGTACTTAAAAGTTAAAGGGAAAATCGTTCAAAATGTCCCTCATATTTTGTAAAATAACTTTTTTCATCCTTCACTTTTAAAAATATAATTTTACGTCCCTTACAAATTCACATTGGTCAAATTTGGTCCCTACTTAAGTTTCCGACTAGTTTTTGAACGGAATTCACCACGTGCCTTGCACGTGATCATATTTTAAGGGCAAAATTGTCAAATCAAATTTTATATAATTCGATTCACAATCACTCACATTTCATAAAATAAATTTTTTCGTCCCTTAAATTTTATAAAATGAATTTTTTCATCCTTCACATTTTTCAAAATGAATTTTTTCATCTTTTATTGATCATGTGTGTGAATGATTTTTTTTAAAATCCATGTATATATCTATTTGATTTTACCTGAACAGTACGAATAGCATGTAAAATCAAATAGAGATATATTACATACTATTCGTACTACTCAAGTGAAATCAAATAGATATATACATGGGTTTAAAAAAATTGTTAGTTTTTCACTTATATCCATTTTCTTTTACTTGAAATTTGAAAATACAGAAGACATTTAATCCTAAATATTATTATATCGAATTAAATTTGGATAGAAAAGTAAACAAAAGAAAAGTATGACGAAAAGAAATAAATGATTGGCACTTTCAAATTTTAAAACAATCACAAGGCAAGTAATTCAACTGTTGGTCTTAAAAGTGTCGAATAGAAATTTCAGATTTAAATCGAAATTTGTTAGCACAATTATAGAATTCGAGGTAGGACCCATTAATTAGATGATTTTATTATACAACTCAATAAATAAATTATTACCAAAAGAGAAAGGTCACAAATATTGAATAGGTTCAAATGGTGAAATCATATAAATATATACATGGATTTCAAACAAAATTATTAGTTTTAAACCCCTATATATATCTATTGAATAGCATGTGTATAACTACGATTAGCATGTTTAGATGAAATCCAATAGAGATAAATTACATGTTATTCATAATATGCAAGTAAAATCAAATATACATATACGTGGGTTTATAAAAAAAAAAAAAAGAAGCTATTTCTACACATGATCAATGAGGGATGAAAAAATTCATTTTGAAAAATGTGAGGGATGAAAAAATTGATTTTTTGAAATCTGAGAAACAAAACAATTCATTTTATAATATGTTAGAGATGAAAAAATTCATTTTGTTAAATGTGAGGGACTACGAATCAGATTATGTAAAAATTTGATTTGATAATTTTGCCCTTAAAAAATGATCACATGCAAGTCATGTGGTGGATTCCGATCAAAAACTAGTCGGAAACCTAGGTAGGGATCAAATTTGGTCAATGTGAATTTGTATAGGATGTAAAATTACACTTTTAAAAGTGAGGGACGAAAAAAGTCATGTTGTAAAATGTGATAGACGTTTTGAGCGATTTTCCCAGAGTTAAATTCATACATACATTTGATGTAAGTAGCACCATTCTAAGCGGAATTTTTTTTTTACCAAAAAAAAAGGATATGTCACTCTTTACCTTATAAATCCATTTTTTTATTTTATCAAAGCTCCTTCGATGTTGTTGGTGTTGCTATACCTTGATTAGTTTCTTACTAGACGTTTTGCAAAAAAAAAAAAAAAAGAGTAGGTCCTTTCTTCCAATTCATTTTTATTTATGAAGAGCACTCGATTTTTTTTTTTTTAAGTGGAAGGTTTTGAATTCAAAATCTTCTATATATAATCCCTCCAACCTTACCACTCAACCATATCCTTCCCCTAGAATATTCGATTTGCTAATAGAGAAAAAAGAAGAGAGAGAGAGAGAGAGTAGAGTCCTCTGTATAAACTTGACTAATGAGTAAGTGCTAGTTGAACCGCTGAGCTTTGGTCCAATGGCCACCAAAAAGAGATGAAATTGTAGGTTGGTGATTCAAAACCCACCTGCAATGAAAAAAATTCAAAAGAAGTGCTAGAGTTTTAGGTTGTAGGTCGGGGGTTTGATTTTGAAAAAAATCCAAAGAAAGTATTAGATCACCTCTTTGATCTAGTCAGATTCTTATACCTACTAACCCCTTACGTTAATTCATATAACTAAATTGGTGATTACACCAAAACACTATGATTTTAGACAAAATATAATGATAATTATATGTATTGATTTGAAACTTGTGAGGCTCTAGATCCAATGATTATAGGATAGGAGTCGTAGACTCGTAGGACAATAGTTCCTCTTAATTTAAAATAGTTAACCTAGGGATAATTTTAGAAACCTCCTCTGAGGTTTTTAACACCTTCATTGACCTTCTCTCAAATTTCAAAAATTACGCTGACCTCCCCCATAAAAAATTTGAAAAATTTGGGCCCCATTGCTTTGCATAAGATGTAATGGAAGTACTATTCTGCCCAAAGACATTATGATTGATTACAAATTTCTTAAAGCTCAAAAAAGTCAGTAATGAAAGTGTAAAAAACCTCGAGGTTCTAAAATTATCCCTAAAACCAAATGCTCAAATGGAAAAAAAAAAAAAAAGGCTTGGCCTTTGCTCTGAACTCTTATTATCAAAATTCCCTGGCCACCTGCAAGACAGGAGGAGAACCAACAGAGTAGAAAAGGAGCAAACAATGCTGAGACAAGTTGGGAAGAAAGGAAACATAGTGTGTGGAAGAAACTGTGGCAACTAAAGGTAAAGGCCAAACTGAAACACTTCATGTGGAAATGCCTGCAGAACTGCCTACCAACCAATGAAGTTACTTTCAAAAGGATGGGAAAAGGAGAGGGAAGGTGTAGCTGCTTCGGAGAAGGTGTGGAAACCATCGAACATTTACTCTTTTTTTGCATGAATGCAGTAGAAGTACGGAAGATAGCTCCAATAAGGTGGGATGGTTTAAAGGACAAACAACATAATTTATGGCTTTGGTGGGAGAAAGCTACTCAGTCTATCTCAAAGGATCATGTACCAGATAGAGTTAACCTCACCATCAATATTTTTTGGCAAATTTGGAAAACACGAAACAAAAAAGTCTTTGAAAATGAATGCCAGAATCCATACAGAATTGTCACAAAAGCACAGGAGGACTGGATGGAGTATGAGCAGGCAAGGGAAGAAGAACAAGACAACAATGTACCCCCCATACACAGTGAGCACCAGAAAAAAAGAGAAACAGCAAAGGAAGACGAGATATGTCTGTTCACAGATGCAGCGATATCAGCAAAAATGAAAAGGATGGGCCAAAGAATTGTGGCAAGGAACTGGAAAGGAAAGAATGGGATAGTCAATCAATACAAGGGAGTACCAAGTAAGGAAGAAGCTCTGGCAATCAGTAATGCAATGCTGATGGCTAAACATGTAGGATGGACTAAAATAATAGTCTATTCTGATAGCAAATCAGTAATAGACCAGATAAATGGAAGCAATGACTATGAATACAACATTGCAACTATATTGGAAGATGTGCAAGAACTTAGAACACATTTTGAAAGCTGTAGGCTTGTCTTTATACCTAGATCAGAAAATGAAATCAGTCATACTCTAGCTGAATTTGCTGTCAAGCTAGTGTATGATATCGAATGGGAACAAGACTTACCAAGTTGGCTGACGGTCTTAGTGAGAAAGGAAATGAGGGTAGTAGCCCTTTTTTGTAATTAAATCTTGTATTAGCTAGTGGTTTCATATATATATATATATATATATCTGTTAACGTTTGTGGAAAAAAAAAATTCCCTGGCCACCTTAGCTCATGTTTAATATTTATGCCTCCTCTTGCATTAAAAAGCAAATTCTTGGAATCCATGGGACCGGACTAAGGCCGAATCTGACATGTGATAAAGCCTAGGTCACCTACCCCACCATTCTCTGAAGGCCAGCCAATAGAAACAATGCTACAGACAGTGAAAGAGTCCACTTGGGCTCTAAAGCATTATCATCCCAATTTTAGCAAATTAATAATGTTTCCTCTCTTTTCTTGTTTCCAAATGTAACCACCAATCCCACCACCCGTTTTGTGTCTCTTGGGGTTCGACTCCTTCCATTGTCTTGTGTCTCTTGGGGGCGGAGCACAGGCCAGGAGGATTAGTCCGAAAGGAATATCTCCTGTGATGAAAAAAAAAAAAATCCCACCACCCTTTAATCTAAACCAGGCCAATGATAGTTCAGCAAGTCTTAAACAAAATCCAAGTCTAAAGAAGTATGCAAAAAAGTAAACTTCCCCAATTTTTTTTTTACGGTAACGATAGTACTTTTATAACCTAATCTATCTTAATTTGGGAGGAGGGGAGATTAAAGAGACTATGTATAAAGGATTATTAGATATAAAAACCTAATTTAAAGGGAAGGGATCCTAAAGAGATTGTGTATAAGAGGTTAGTAGGTATAAAAATTTGACTAAATCAAAAAGGTGTTTGACCCCTCCTTTAAATTTTTTTCAAAATAGATAGGGTTCGAATCCCCACCTTATAACTCAAAGAGGGATTTAGTCCGGTTTTGATGACAACTGAACCATATTTCAGTGGTTTGCCAAGTTTGACAGGTGACCAGAATGCAATTGCATGCATAGAGAGACAAATGGATCTAGGACATAAATGTGCCAATTGGCCAGTCATGCCAGCTTCTTCAGCCGTTCTCCTAACATCTTTGGCTCTTTGCCCTTTTTTTACATGGTTTTGCATTGGTGGGTCGCTTTCCACTTTAACAAACAACAGTTAAACAGTGATAGTTTTCCACTAATCCATCATTGGTTAGAGGCTGAAAGCAAATTAAATTGGACCATTCATTCCTTTCTTTTTGAGATCTCTCTATTTGTCTCTTTCAAAAACAGAGAGACCCCTTTAACCAACTTGGTTTAAGATAGTATAACAGCCATTTTTATTTGAATTACAAAAATTCCTTATATTTCGCAACACCCCTTTCTCTCTTCACCTTTATTATCAGCAAATGTAGGGATGCCTATATCCTACTACCACATAAGCATATTTATCTGATTTTGAATAATACTAATAGAATTAGAGTCAAAGTTTCGATCTTTGGAAAGTTTTGGAAGAGCAAAATATGGCAACAAATATTGGTATGATGGATAGTGCATACTTTGTTGGGAGGAATGAGATTCTAGCATGGATCAATGCCAGGCTTCAGCTCAATCTTTCTCGTATTGAAGAGGTACCCTTTTGGATTTTTCAGCAATATGTATCTCCTTTTTTGTTTATGTGCATGAATTTTGGTACATATTTTCCTTCGGTGATTTTCCATATAGAATTTTCAAGAAACCATTTTTACGTTAGTTACAAGCTTGAATGGTTTTGGCCAATTGTTCAAGTTTGACTCTTGAATTGAATTCCGGTCATGGTTATACAATGGGATGCTTTTGTTATTACATGTTCTGTGGACAAAAGTTGAACCTTTATGCTTTTGCCTCGTCCTGGGCCATTATATTGAGGTGAAGTACTTGACCCTTTCTTGAAATATGTATGGAGGCTTTTGTTTCTTGCAATCAAAATGTAGTTTTTATTCTCTTCACTGGTAAGTCGTAAAGTGAGTGCTTGACTGTTGTTGATTAAATCAGGCTGCAATAGACTCTGGTATATGATCAGCATCTTTTGGATTGCTTCAAGTTTTTGCTAATGCATTCGAGCACTTACTGACTTGGTCAAAGCTTCTTGTTTTCGTCCTTAGGTTTTATGCTGTAATTCAACTGTCATTTTAGGTAATATTGAGTGTGAACAAGGCGATAGGTAATCAATGTGGTTAATCATTGTGGTTCTTGTTGGCTTGATGTTGGAAAATGGCTTCTGCCATTAAATATTGAGTAGCTTTAGATGAAGGAAAGCCAATCAGAAAACTGATTCTGATCTTCAATATGCTGATGGCTTTGCTAAAACACATTTTACAGCCTTAGATTTTTTTTTTTTTTTTGCTCATCTTACAGAAAATAGCATTTGACAAAGGAGTAGCTTTCTTTTTAGCTAGTCATTGTGTGTCCTGTAAAGGAAAGCTGAGAGTAGCTTCTGCCCTTAAATATTGAGTAGCTTTAGATGAAGGAAAACCAATCAGAAAACTGATTCTGATCTTCAATATGCTGATGGCTTTGCTAAAACACATTTTACAGCCTTAGTTTTTTCCCCCTTCTCATTCAACTACTTATGTATCTCTACTGTGTTCATCTGACAGAAAATAACATTTGACAAAGGGTTAGCTTTCTTTTAGCTAGTCATTGTGTGTCCTGGAAAGGAAAGCTGAGAGGGATGCTTTATCCTTTGCAGTATTGATTTATCTTATCTATAATATTTTCTTTTGATATAATAGGTGAGGTTACATGTCATTCTGAATTCTGAAATATTCTGACAGGACGCTTATCTTGTAGTTATGTCAAATTGACGGTCAGATTACTATAAGCAGTGATCTCTCTATGGCATGATCTACTTTTAGTCTTCATTCATCTATGCATCTCCTTTCAGGAAATATAGTATTCAAACTGTCCAAGCATGCCAACTAGACATGATATCAATTCATAATTTCTTTGGGGCATTGATAAATCCTCCCTGCTCTTGCTGAGTACGTCACAAATGATATGAATAGGGAGAATTGATTGCAAAGACTTACCCAGCTGCTTAGGAATAAGTTAATTTATGAATTGGGAATTTTGCTTCTTCAAAATTTGTGACACTTCAGTGAAGAGACATGGTGCTTATCTTGAATGTAGTGAGTGTTATACAAATAGGAATTCATTTATTGCTCCACTCGCCTTGTTAAGCATGGGTAATACTGTTGAAAACTAGTTGCAGTTTTAAATTTTGACAGTTTTAGTGGGAAAATTGCATGTGAAAGTGGTGTGAAGCTTGTGAGTCTCTTTCTCTCTCTCTCTATTTGGCTGAGCTTGTAAGTCTTATATACTAGGAAGACATAATCTTCCAAGAATTATGTAGGAAAATTCACTATGAAAGAGCTTGGAAATTGTCATGCACCCACAGCAGTGTACAATGTATGTTTCAAAGGAGATGTATTTTTTTTTTTTGCAGAAATATGAGGAATTAATCAATTATGGGGAACGATTGTGGCTATCCAATTGGTAGGCCAAATTTTTTTAATAGAGTTCAATGCATCCAAATTGATAGATTTAGCCATTGGATTTTAGCCCACTTAGTTGAATTTAGATATTACTTTCAGGGATCAGAGTCGTATTTTCTGAACCAATTTTTGGAAAGAATTATGCCAAAACATGACTCCGCAGCTTCTCTTTTCTGAGCAATGGAAGTTCTGAAAGACAAAAACATTATCTTTTAAAATCTAAGCATTTACTTCCATTTGTGTACTTCATTTGTGAGAAGGTATTTTCAATCTTTGTTGCCATTGCTAATCATCTTTTTAGGTGATGTCGCATTTTGTTGGCAACTTCATTTGCATGCTCAATAGTCATCAGGTATGCAAGACACCTTCTTGCAATGATGCATAGTTTTAGATTTCAATTTCTTTTGCTAGGCTGCATCGGGAGCTGTCCAATGCCAGATGATGGACATGACTTATCCAGGAGTGGTTCCAATGCACAAGGTAACATGTTTGTCCTGTCAAATCTGGCATCTTCATGCATTTCTTTTAGTTTTTCCTCTTACATCTAGACCATTTTGTGCACTTGTAGAATTGTTGACAGATATTTTTACATAGGTGAATTTTGACGCAAAGACAGAATATGATTTTATTCAAAATTACAAGGTGCTGCAAGATGTATTCAATAAACTGAAAATTGACAAGGTAAATCTTTTCTATGACCCATTTTGAAGCATTTAAGTTATGCTTCAGAACTTTGCTTCCATGTTCATGTTGACCTAAGAACTCAATAGTTTCTTACTGGCCATTAAGACATTATTCTGCTACCTTTTTCTTCTTAGTTGGGTTCTTTGTTCATACGATCCTTTAGTCAGCATTAGACTTAAGAATCAGTTATAACTTAGCTCAAGTAAATGAAATAGTCTCCTTCAGTAGAATTGTATGTTTGACATGCTGCACGTTGTGGAACTTGAGTTATGCAAGTGATATGATAAATTTAATCAATACTTGTTAAGCGGAAGAAATAACAACTGCAGGTTGCTGAAGTACCTATTTGTTTACTAAAAACCATACTGCAAGTTGAGCAACTTGAGTTATGCAAGTGATGTATGTAAGAAATTCAATTAATACTTGTTAAGCATAAGAAGAAAGATGCAGGTTGTTAAAGTACCCATCTGTATGGGGTGCTTTCTACTTGCTATAAGCTCTTGCATTGTTAGGCTCCTTTTCCTTTTTTCCTTTTGTTCTTCTTTTCTTGGAAGAAAGCAGGGCTGTTTTGGATATTGTAGGGATAGATTGTGCCCATTCTAATATGCAGCTTCCAGTTGGAAATTTCTGCACCGTTGCAATTTCTTTTCTGTTCAAGTTAGATTCCTTCTTGTGAAAACAACAATGGTGGATAAGTGCCATTAATATTTCATTCTCATCATTTTGGCTTGGGCAAATTCTATTAACTACTCATTGTCATTGAACATCAAGCCATGCGTTTCTATAGACTATGTGTACTGACTTGTTGCTGACCTGGTATCGAACATTGATAATTCTATTCACGTTTGCAGCATATTGAAGTCAACAGACTTGTCAAGGGTAGAACTTTGGACAACCTGGAGTTTTTGCAATGGCTTAAACGTTATTGTGATTCCATCAATGGTGGCATCATGAATGAGTACAGTACTTCTAATATGCTTAGACATGTTAAATCATTGACACCAGCTTCCTTATATTTGTCTCTTGCATATTCTTGAGTCATCCAGGAATTATAACCCTGTGGAGCGCAGAAGTAAAGGTGGGAAGGAACGATTTGTAAGGACCCAGAAGAGCTCAAAGTCTCTGCAAACAAGCAACACGCATGACCATGCCATCGGGGATGGGTTGGGCATCAACAAGGTTGCAGGTAGGGAAAAATCACATCTTCTTCTTTACTATTTGTGTTTCACCATTCTCCGAGCTTAAGATTCTTGTTCGCTTTGTGTTAATGAAGGGACCAAGTTAGGAAGGCAATGCCCAGTATCTAGTGGGGTTAATTCCTCAGTGGAGATTCAGGCATTGACAAAGGAGGTACTTAGGTCATATCTATCTCGAATTACATTCTTAAAACATCTTTTAGCTGTCAATATATCTAATCTAAGTTGTACTTGCATCACTGCTAGTTAAACACATGCAAACAAGAGTAAATGAGTAGCATCTATCGCATCTATTTAAGGTTGTCAAGAATTTAAAATCGAGTTTATGTTGAATCATAATGATAAATAGATGATTGCTATGACTCTGCAAATCTATTTACTCACTCTGCTGATGATGCTTTTCTTCTGAAATGTTGTGCAAAAATAAACATGTTTTTCCAGTCTTTGAATGTCTTGTACTAATTGGTTTCATTACATGCTCATGCAGATTACAGATCTGAAGCTGTCAGTTGACCTTTTGGAAAAAGAAAGAGATTTCTATTTTGGGAAGTTACGGGATATTGAGATACTCTGTCAGAGTCCTGAATTAGAAAATATCCCAGTATGATTTCCTCAAAGGTCCCCTGAATCCTTGTCTATTGCTATTGCTTGTCTCTGTGGTGTTTCTTCAAACCCGTCTTACGCCATAATGTAATCTGTACCCCTGTCAAAATATCTAAACTTTCGTCAGAACCTGTTCCAGTTTCCCAGCTTTCCTGAGTTAGATATATTCATCATGGTGCCTCGATTTGTACTTTGTTACAAATGCATATCATTAGCAAAATGAATTTTATTCATCGCTTTCTCTTAAATCTTTTGCAGATCGCTGTTGCAGTTAAGAAGATTTTGTATGCTGCGGATGAAAAAGAGTCTCTACTCACAGAAGCTCAAGAAATTATCCACCAAACCATGGATGGCCAAGCCGAATTGAGCAAGGAGGGGGAGGAAGAAGATTAGACGAGATGGGTTTCTTGCCATTAAAGGTGGGAGACCAGTCTAACATTTGTCCCAGAAAGTCTCTTTTAGCTTTGCTCAAATTATGTTGGTTATCTATCCCGTAATGTAGTAAATAACCTGTTACCCCTCAGCTGTCTTGGATGTGTTAAAAAGATGCCAATGCTATCCCCCTGGAAAGAAACCAATGTCTACTTTGGATCAAAATGGTCAAATAAACAGCATTTAGTTTACTGGGGTATAAGCTGCAACTTTCTGTGTAGGGAATGAAAGTATGAATCCTTCAGCTCCTTCCTCCTTCGCTATTCCCCCTGGTGGATTAGGGGCTGGAGGTCAACTTTTTTAATTCAAGTTTATGGCTTTCGTCAATTCAATATGGAATCTGTCTGATTTGTTTGTTTCAGTTGTCAACTTCCCCCTCCCCCTCCCCCTGTAAATTGTGCAAAAAGAGTAACGACAACTAAAGAATGAAAGATCCAAAGAGCAAAGGCCAGCATATTCTACACAAGATGATGGTATGTGACCATAAGAGCATAGTTATTACTCGGCCGGGCCAACGGTTTAACCGACCATCTTGATCTAGATGGGTTGGGTTGGTAGTTAGACCGCTGATCGGTCAATGACTTGTCGGTTTAATTCGCATAGTTATTAATCGGCCGGATCAACAGTTCAACTAACCATCTGGACAATTTGGGTTGATCGTTAGATTGGATAATAATAACGAAGTAGTCTATTGACTAGTTAATGACATGATGTTTTAATTCGAGTAAAATTCAAAGAAAACTGATGGATTCAACAACCAATTTAATTCTTACTAATGCTCAATGCACACCAAATGTGTGTACAATTAAAAAATATATAATACTTATGGTTATATATTTTAAATAAACTTTTTATTACTGAAGCAAACTTTAAATTTTTAAATCCTTTTCATAAAATAATTTTATATTGATAGTTGTAATGTTTAGGAGTAGTTACATTGAAGAAGACATACACTTAAATAGTTAAAAGTTAAAATAGTCATGGATAGTTATAGGTAGTTAAAGTAAAAATAGTTTTTGTAAGAGCAAAAAAGAAAGTTCATAAAGTGACGATAAATGTTAACCTCAATGTCAAACTCCTTACTCAGGTGCAACTTTGTCGCTTATTTGTATTGTCTAATTTATTAAATGTAAACTTTTTAAATTATGAAATGTGTGTATTAATTATTTCTAATTTTTAATTATTTTTGTTCTTTTACTAATACAACTTATATACATGCATTAGGGGTATTTATGGAATAAAAGTTTCATCTCTTTTCTTAAAGTACTTTTTTAATGTTACTTTTTCTAATTAGACTAATTTTGTTATCAAAACCTTAATCTCAGGAGAAGTTTGTGTAATTTTGCAAACTTCAAGGGAGGCTAGCGATATTGTTAGAAATCTCAAGGGAGGTTTCTGAAATTATCCCTGTATATATAGTATAGATATTATTTTCAAATATTCAAAAATATTATTATATTATGTAACACCTGTTCAACTGGCAACCCGCAACTAACCCGCTAACCTATTAAACCTGTGGCCTTGCCAAGCTGATCCGGACTGGGTTAATACATAATAACTATGCACGGCAGGACTTGAAGGATTATTCCTTAATAAACTAAAGTGTTTTTTTTTTTTTTGGAAGGAAATAAACTAAAGTTCTCAAGGGTAAATTGCTGAAGAATCGAATTCCAAACGAGTTTTAGTTCGAATTGAATTTTAGTTCGAATCGAATTCCAAACGAATTTTAGTTCTAAACCTTGACCAGTTAAATAACACAAAACCCAATAGGATTACATAGTCACCTAGCTTGTCCGTATAATAAGTAATAACCTTGTGCTCATGAAACTTGAAAACACCTAAACTCCCATGGAACCAACTTTGATATGAACTCCTATAACCAAACCAATTACAGTTCCAACAAAAATCGAAAAGGGATTACAATTGACACCCTACTCTGATCATCACATTGTCTATATAATACCCTCGTAAACTCGTACTCTCTGAAATTATTTAGCCTTTAGTAATTTCTTGTTTCTCCCTCCATAGCCATCATGATCTCTTCTAAGCCCTTTTTTTCTTCTTCAATCTTACTTCTAACAACCATTCTAATTTTCGTTGGTTCTCTTGGAACAGTCCATTCTGGTTATGAACCAAGACATCCTATTTCTCAGCGTAAATGGTCTCATGAACCGTTTCCAATCTCTGGTGCATCCGGACCAGAGAGCCTTGCTTTCGATCGTCATGGTGATGGTCCCTATACCGGCGTTTCTGATGGCCGGATTATCAAGTGGGATCGGAACCAGAGTCGGTGGATAAATTTCGCAACAACAACTCCTTTCAGGTTACAATTAATGTTCTTACAACTATTATTTGTGAAAAATTTGTGTTTGTTCTAACTATTTATGTGGACTGTCTGTACTGTTCTTGTTACGTGTATGTGACCATGCATATTCTTGTAGCTATTGTGATTAAGTACGAAAGGTCATTATTGTTGTTATTATTATTTTTTCACCAAAATTACTATTTGTCATCACATTATGAAATTTTTTTTGGATTATTTCATAGAGAAATTACTGGTTAAGGGTTTCAGATTATGTAGATTATGATTAACTTTTCGCACGTCTGTCATCGTTCTTCTGTTTTTGTTGTAAAATTAGCGAAATTGTAAAAAAAAAAAAAAAAAAATGTTCGTATGATTTGAAATCGTACGTAGTAGCTACTAATTATCTACAAATAAGATAAGAATTTTGAGGCATGCTTTTGTCCTCTAGAAGACAAGCCACAAATAATCCTCCGATTAATTAAGGCAATCGTATCTATTTTGAAAGCATGCAATAGAGATATTAATCAGTTGTCATGTTCAAATAGGAGATTATTTCGAATAATATTTTGAAAAAAGTTATATCACTTTTTTGTAACGTGATATATATATATATATATATATATATAAAAAGTTATTAAAAAATAAAAAATAAAATATTAAATATTAAAAAAGCATATTTATGATTCAATCGATTTTTTTTTTTTTTTTTTTTTTGCAAATACAACTCTATCCAAATAGATTTTGTTGAAACTTTTTTTTACACACAGAGACGGATGTGAAGGTTCAGAAGATCATGTCAACACGGAGGCTAGATGCGGAAGGCCACTAGGCCTAAGTTTCGATCACAAGACTGGTGACCTTTATATTGCGGATGCATATATGGGGCTCTTAGCAGTGGGTTCCAAAGGTGGATTGGCCACACCAGTGGTGCAGGAAGTCCATGGTTTTCCTTTTAAATTCCTCAATGATTTAGTTATTGATCAAGATAGTGGAGCAATCTATTTTACTGATACCAGTACAAGATTTGAAAGAAGGTAAACTTAATAACTCAAAAGAGTGTGATTTTGCTTTTTTAGTATTGTCCAATGCTTGAACTTTTATCTCATACACGTGCTTTCTTCCTTCATAATTACATATATATATATATATATGGCACTGATTTGGTCCAAAATTTCAGGGAATTTGCCAATGTGATGTTTAGCGGTGACAATTCAGGAAGGCTATTGAAGTTTGATCCAAGAAACAATGAAGTAACAGTTCTCCTGCACAACCTCATGTTTCCAAATGGAGTTGCGCTGAGCAAAAATGGCGATTTCCTTCTTGTCGCCGAGACCACAAATAGCAGAATACTAAGATATTGGCTTGAGCCATCATCAAAGCTCGGGAAGGTTGAAGTCTTTGCAAATCTTCCGGGAAGGCCGGACAACATCAAAAGGAACCAAAACGGAGAATTTTGGGTGGCGGCTAATTCAGAAAAGGGTGGTTTATTCAATTGGATTCTTTCACGTCCTCGGTTAGGAAATTTCCTAGCCAGAATCCATTTTGATTTTACTAAACTGGACTCGCTTTTTGGTAATCCCGATGATGCGTACGCTTTTGCAATTAGACTGAGTGAGAATGGCGACACATTGGAAACGATAGAGAGTTCAGAAGGGGAGACGTTGAAGTACATTAGTGACGTAGATGAAGAGAGTGGTGGTAGTTTGTGGGTAGGGTCTGTAGTACGTCCTTTTGCTATTAAGTTGAATGCCAGCAATTAGAGTTGTCTCAGTTGACATTATTATTAACATTATTGATGGATCAAAAAACATTTGGTCATGTAACTACCGCAGCATATTTTGTATTCAAAAGTTGTTGTTTCTCTTTTTTATTTTTCCAACATTCTGGAAAAACGGTCATCACAAGAAAATTGGCAAAGTGCAAAAGCCAACAAACTAAACTATAAGCAGGCGATGAAGGCAATCCTTCATATTAGCTGTGGTAGTTACATCATACCTGATCCAGGAAGATTAATTTTGGAAAATAAAAAATAAGGAGCAAAATCTTCAAATTTACAAGAGGAAAGGCATTTATTGATTCACCTTAAAACCAGCTTATTCTTCGTTTCCGCGATGGTATATGAGTGCAATCGGTAGTAACCTCCTTTAGATTTTTTTTTTTTTTTTTCTGTTTATGTAGGGAATTTAAAATTTTAAAAAAAAGTTGTTGAAGTGAAAATTAGATGTTTGACAACTCATCTGAATTTAAATTTAAAATTTAAATTTTGCTCATATGTCATGCATACAACTACGATAGTGTATATACTATCAGTGTATACAAGATTTACTCATATAACAAAGTAAGAACTGTAGGAATTTCCAACCGGCCAACTTTAACTGTAAAATCAAGATTTAAAAAAAAAAAAACTTGCTTGGCAAATTCTGGCGCAAAGTGACAAATTGAAAGAGAAGAGGAAGCTGAGGATAGAGCGACCGTATGGCGTAACAAATTTGAGCTGATCACAATAGGGATCAAATTTCAAAATACCCTGAAAAGAAAAAACCGAAATTGCATGGAAGCACCATGAGAAAAATCACGCTTCGCAGCAGAATGCTGAACTGCATCTTAGCGTTCTTTTCCTTGCCTACATTCTAACGCCTCTACACGTAATGCTAACTATACACCGGGCAAGAATGACTGTACATCACATCTGAAGCAGAATTTCATTACTGTCAAAACAAAAGTGAAAGAGCTCTCAGAAAAAGGGTAGCTATAAAGCCGAAGATTTGGTACAACCCAAGTCTTGCTGCTCTTACTGCATCAGTTTATCATTTGCTCGGATATCGATCTTAGTTGTCAATGTCTCAAGCTGCAACAGATAGACAGAGAAGACAGTCCAAAACTGAAGAATAGGAGCAAAAGAGTTGTAAGATTGACATTTTTGTGTGCGACCAATATTGATCTCTTCTCCTAGTAGAAAATGACTTCCACAGAGTAGAGATTGATCATCATATGCTTGTGTAGTAGCTTATTGACATATATATATATAC